TTAAGTAAGTAATTTATGTCAGGCGAAATTTCACCAATAGAATTTTTTTCATATGGGTTTAGAACATTGTCAAAGAAGTGGCAAATTTGCCGCTTATTAAATGACCCTTTGAAAAATTTCATTTCGATGTCGTGACGCAAATGTCCGAAAATGCCTCAAATTACCATGACAAATTCTCTGTCCCGTCACAACACACGTCATCGATTGAAAATTCTTGTTATTTTATTGACATTCCGTGTGGTTTAACCTAAGCGTTTCCCTCTATCCCTATACATAATATCGACTTAACGATAATTTTATATTTGAGTGTAAAGTTTGCCGATCGCGGAGATCTAACTTTTGAGGGCGGCAACTTGTCGGAAAATGCTTCGACGTTTAAATATTTCACTTCGTGAAAATTTCAAACAGGTATCGTTGAGAAAATATGTGATGATCAAAGGCTTACCAGACGTCGATTCGAATGATGCCAAATGCATACAAATTTATTTATATTAGATTGGGAGGTGTACAAAGCCGGCGAACTTGTTTACCGTATCGATATTCTTTGAGTTTAGGTATAATCATTTCTTTGATTACTCAACGGAAAATGCTCTGCTTGGGGAGCAGCCTTTCCGAGTTTCCAAACTCTAACTCGATGCTTAAAGTGGCCACTTCCGACTTATTAATTTTAAAATTTTTCAGTTTGTTATAATAAAAAAAATCTTGCGAATAAATTGCCGCAACGGTTCGTTACTTCTGCAAATTGTGGTCGAGTTCATCTAACTTGCATATAAATCGCATTTTCCCTTATTGTACGGCTCTACATGAAATTGGCCGGAAGGTGGGCTAGCTATCTGCCTAGTTGCTCCAATTTAGAGTCGAAGGCGAGACTGCATCGTTCAAGATAGTCGTGATAAGAGCTACAAGTCGTGGCTCAACCCTTAGGTAAAAACGTGCCTCAGCTCCGGTCACTCCTTATTACAAAATTTGAAACGTCAGCTAAATGCAAGCGACCGGAAATCATTTTGACACATAAAGCATAAATACCCGGAAATACCTGGGATGCACTTCAATCGAAAGAATTAAACACGAATCCAAAGAAATTCCGTCCCGCCGCAATTAAATTGCTCCAAGTCGAGAAAAATATATAGGTAAAGTAGACGCGCTTAAAATGAAATAACAAATATAGGGGCAATCCAATCACCGTAATCTAAAAATGGTCGGGGTGGAAATTCAATGCAGGAAATCCAATAGAATAGAGACCACACCTTTATTGGCACGCTCGGGAAACTATTTATATTCGCCACTGCAATTTCTGCCTGTTTAACTTAACTTGCTTTCTTTCGAGTTGAAATAATTCTCAAGAAATACGCCAAGATGTAGTTTTTTCGGTTTTATTCTAAGACGGCTTATGGAGAACAAAAAGAAATTGAAATTATTAAATTCAATGAAACAAACTATCAATACTATAATTAATTAACTTATCAAATAATACTGCAATATATAGCTTAATTCTAGATACTCTATAATTATTTAGGTTTTTTTTTTCTCTGTGTGTGGCTAATGAAATAGAGTGGTCTGATATTTTTGGCGCAGATGGGCTTATTGGGGAACGTAACAAGTGATATTTTTTACAGTACATCAAAATTGGAACACGGAACGAACGTACATTGTTGTTTGTTTTGTTGTAATGTTCACTTTTTTAAACTAAATAAAACATACGTGTTCTTTAAAAATGTGACAAGCAGTATAAGCACTTTTCTACCACTATTTTGGTTTTTGTAATTTTTGAGGTGATGTGGTGATTACAGGTAATAGTATATTACATGAAGAGCACGAAAAGTGAGAAATAACGTACAAGTGATGAGTTTTATGCACAAGGCGTGAACCGAGTGCAGAAGCCCTACGAGTGCGTTAGACACTTTTTAGCGATATACCGGCTGTCCCAGACAGGTTTGGATATGGGAAATTAACATGGGAAGTTAGTTTTTATTTTTTTCCGACTGCAGGAGTAACATAAACTAGAATCTGATTAATGAACCTTGTAGTGCTCGAAAAGGGCTATCTTATCGACATTTTTGTCGACTTTCCAATTTATTCCATTTGGGCGGATATGTATCTCGAAAAATCGAATTTTGAATTTGCCGGGTTATCGTTACTAAGAAACGAACTATTAAGTCAAATTCTGACAAATTCTCCTTTGGCAACAATAACTTGATAGTTGGTTTCTTAGCAATGTTTACCCGGTAAATTCAAATTTCTATTTTTTGAGGGTCGTTTTCGCCCAAATGGAGTTAATTAGAGAATAGACAAAAACATCAATATGATAGCCTTTTTCAAGCACTACAAGCTCCATCAATCAGATTTTGATTTCTATTACTCCTGCAGCCAGAAAAAAATAAAAACTAAATTTCCATGTTAATTTCCTATATCCAAGCCTGCCTGGGACACTCGGTATACACTATTTTTCCAACGGCCCCGCAACCCCAGGACATAAAAACACCATTATTTTTAATGAAAGGATTTAATGTTTCTGCCAAAGATCTAAGATCGACAGTTATTAAATTAGGCGTCTATTAATATTAAATGCTTACTTAATTAAGCTGATTTAGGTTTAAATTGTCGGTGGTTTTAATTACAAAACTCTGCGTCAATTTTGAAGGATGAAGAAAATAAAAGTCAAAAGCAATGCACACGTCCAACAACAACTTTTGTGGGTAACTACTGTATGGAAAATGTCACTTTCATATATGGTCGTGAGAAAATTATATTTACCTAAGTTCATACATGCAAAACATACATATTTACTTATCCTATTGACTATTCACTTTGTTAAACCTCTTATTTGCACTTCATAGTTGATCTCAAAATTTACGAAATTTTTCGCTCCTTATTAAAATTCTGTTCATGCGGATAATATTCCGAAGGGTTTGTGACGTAAATAACAGTTGACAGGTGCGTTTATGCGGGTTACGATGTGATTATAAGGCATTAGGAAGCAACGGTTCCGTTCTTATTCCAGTAAATTGAGGGTAGTTCTGGTGGACTATCAGTGGTTGTGTTATTTCCGATGGCTATAATGAAACCTTCGGTGCGCTTCGCAGCACATCCCATTATCACCGGAATTCTTTATCCCATTGTTATCGTGATCCGGGATTATTTAAAGTGCGATGGTCTTATTAACGAGCCATTTTCGACCGCCATTATTATCATACGGTTATTAAATTTGTTTGGTAATAGATACTTATTTCCGAGAGAGATAAGCGTGAATTTTGGAATTATGCAAAGCGGAGAACGACCAGCAAACATTTTAATAAGTATTTTTGGTTGCAGAGACAATACAAAAATATCTTATTAATTACACTGGATTTTTTAACCATTAAGTGACAAGGAAAGACGGTTTGCGTTGGTTTCTATTTTTAATTTATGATTATGTGCTTTTTCATATAATATTTATCACGCTTTATGAATTAAACGACTAAGCGTTTCAGTCGTGTGTACTTACACAGGGGATACGAGTATTACAACCTTTTGTATGTTTACTGCTTACACGAATCACAAATGGGGTTACAGTCTGCTTCCTTTATTTTAACTTAAAAAATAAATTACAAATTGTAGTTGGCTTCACTTAAGACGTTTTAATCCTTTAAAATCATTAATCTTTTGGCAAAGGCAGTCCGCAAAGGTCTTTGTTTGAAGGAATCCTATTGTTTGTAAAGTCTTCTTGCTAAGTTTTATTGCAATAGTTTATAGAGTAAGCTTCCGCACTAGCGTCTTTAGTTTCAAACGAGAGGTTTTTACTATTGCAACATTTAAGAGAAAAGCAATTATTATTGCATTTGCAATAATAAAATTTAGGACAAAAATAAAAACTGTTTTTTTTTAATACGATCTAAAACGATCTACGAGTATTACTGCACTATCAAAGATGAGAACTTATGATTTACCTCACGTATTTAGATAGAAATAAATTTAGAACTCTTACTGCTAAATTTATTAATACTTGTAATATGTCTAGTGATTTTCAGCTCACAGATCAAAAATTAATTATGAAAGAAATGTTAAACGTTCTAAATAATAATTTTAACACACAGCTATGATCAGGTGGTATTGTTCACTGATTCGCTGATAATGAGTAACTTTTCTTTAATTATGCCGCAAATTTTTCTTAACTTACTGTGAACATAAGTTTTCTCTATGTTTAATTTAATTAAAAATAATCACAGATTAATGCCTTACAAATGTTAATTGCTATGCAACTAATTGAGTATCTAAGTACTATAAATATTTAGAGTTAAAAAAATGTCCCCGTATAGTAAACAATCCTTAAAATACCATAGATAAAACCATTTATTTGATGTAAAATATAAAGCTGCAACAAACAATTGTATTTCTAGTGTTTCATTAAATAGAGTTAATAATAGAGTTAATACTGTATTTTTTGTGTATTGAGTAAAAGCTGTTACGGATGATTATATGCAATATTAAAAAATAGTTGTATATCTACAGTGAGTGGCAAAATTATGGAATAATCTTATTATTCTTATTAAAACTAAGAATATTTTGTTTTGGCATAAATGCTCAAATTTTACACTTTTTGGTTTTTGGAGTAATAACGTCATTGACGTTTTTTTTAATGGAAACTCCTAATTTTTTTATGCAATTCGATAGACATTTTAATTGTCGAAATGACGACACCAAAAAAAGTAAAAAAACTTAAAACAACAAAGGAACAAACAATTTTAAATTAAATTGAGAATTTTGTATTTTTAAAAAATAAAATTGACCTGTTTGAGCATTTTTGTCAGAACAAAATATTTTCAGTTTTAATAAATAAGGCTACTCCATAATTTAGCCCCTCACGGTATAATTTTTGTATGAAGACATATTGAAAATACAATTATTCACCTCTAAACTGCAGAAGTATATACCACCACAATTTTAGAATAAAGTATTATGTTACTAAAAAACATGTATTGCGTGAGTTTTTATTTCTAACATTTTGAATTTTGTTTTCTCAGCCTCGGACGGCGACCTGCCCTTCTCTCCCATCTTGGGGATCTTAATCGGTGCCACCCTTACCATAATCATTGTCATCCTCGTGGTGATAATTAGAGTCCGGAGATCTCAAAGCCAGCCCGAGGTTACAATAGAGCAAAAAGTATTAGGTGCTCCTCACCACAACACAATGTCTTCTGCAAAGCCACTCCTGAGGAGCTCTTCTCCACGTGACACCGACGAGAAGGATCCCGATGTAATTCCCGCTAAATACGGTAAAGCTTGCTTTTGTACCGGCAAAATAAATCTTCGTATAATTTCGTTACTCTATAAGTAACGCTTTTGTGGGACGCAGCACGATGCATTACGCCTAGTTAAATATTCATATCGGTTTGTCTCCCATTCCGTTTCATCTAGTGTCAAAACTAAACAATGTGCAAAGTGCTTAAATTCGAAAATTTCGTGTTTTTGTAGACTCTCCCGACGGAGAAACTGCCAGGAATATAGGACCGCTAAACGGTCCCCAAAATCTTCCTCTGGGCTCCTTCGCAACATCTCCGAATTATGCTCAGACAGCCGTTCCAGCCCCCCAATGGGTCAGTCCCGTTGCTCCCACAACCGAGCCGATGGTATTTTACTCCAATTCTTCAAAAACTTAGACTTGTCAATAATCTGTTGCAGTATCATTTGTATAATAATCCTGTGGCGATGGTGGGCACGTTTTCTAGGGATTCCAGGCCAAAGGAACTTCGTTTAGGAAACGGAAGCACGGCCACCCTTCAAAGAGCCACAGATTTGGAGTTAAACGGATTAGCCATTAAAGAGAGACTGATGGCAAACCGACTACCGGAAAGTTGTGTTTAAAACAAGTGTCTTTTGTATTGTTTGGTTGTTCGCAAAATTACTTTAAGGACCGTCCAAAGCGTTACGGCAGTGGCGAAGGGGACTGCATTTAATAAAAAAAAACACTACCATTACTTTGCCAAATTGTTGCCACCAGTAGCTTGAAACATTAGTTGTCTAAACTGATGCAGCTGCATGTCTCAAATTGCTTTAGACAAATGGCCAAAAATACTAGGTGATTGTGCAAAAATTCTAGGAGGTTACCTATAGTAAATACAGATTTAAAGATGTCAAAATAACTCAACTCGCCTTATCCAAATGTTTACAGCAATGTTTACATTAATCGGTGGCATTTGCGATTATTACATTCGCTCATATTTTCAATAAAAAAAATTTGCCTCTATTATTTTTTTCTTATGAGGCCACTATTTTCTGCAACCGTTTCAGCTTTTTTTTGACTCTTTTTTACAACGCACTAGGTAAGTATTAAAGAGCAAACGTCAGAGATCATATTTTTTTATAATTCTTATTGATGAAATTCAGATATTCGGATAAGGTAAGTTGAGTTGTTTTTGCATCTTTTGTCCTCTACTATCACCTCTTAAAATTTCTGCACTACTATTAACATCATTAATGCCATTTCAACATTACTGGTGGTAATTTTTCAGATTTTTGAAAACAAAACATGTTCCTCGTTGCATCCAACTTCCGCCAAAATTCGCCAGCTGCCGTTGCATAAAGAGTTATCGTTTTCTAAATGTAAATTGTGTCTAAAGATAGACTGACTTATAGCCAAGTTAAGTGTTCGTGTTATCGGTGAAAGAGTGGACACCTCATACAGACAATCGGTAGCTGAAATCTAAGTAAATTTCTAATGAAGACTTGTAAATATCATTGTTGCATATCGTGAAGATGGTTGGCTGTTTTGTAACCAGTAACTGAATGCTTTTTGATAAAAATTAAAATTAATATACGAAATAAGTGAAACGAATTTGATTATCTAGAGTGTTCTATTGCTCACATTTTGCTAGAAAGTTTATCTCTATCACTAATTTATTTAAGTACTTTTATTTGCCAAAACTGGCTCGTCTTCCATGTCCCTATGATTTAATTTCGAGTAGAATCGGACAATGTGAACAATAAAACTGCAATGAGGATGAACAAGGAATAAGTGTTCTGTTACTTTTAAGATAAACTTGATTCGTTTCTGTATACATGTAGATATTAAAAACTTTAAGTGCATATCGTTACTTCATATCTTTTAATAAATTTTCGAATCGGTTATTTTTTGGATGCACTTGTTGCTATTGTACTGTTTAAGATAGTCATAAGTAAATATTGTGATATTTTATGTAGGCTAAAACCCATGTATTTAGGAAACATATTGTAGAAAAACCGATAATAAATGTATAAAACATTAAGTGACTTTTAGTAAATATTAATAATATTATAATTATAAAACACACATAAATAGAAAAATAAATAACATATTAATATTCATATGGTTACGCAATCATTTTGGAGTCCTCGGGATACAATGTGACTGGAAACGAAAAGCACATAAGCTGATCATCTTTTTCAGTTTTCATAATCCACTTCACACGAGCAGACAACTAAAAATAAAAATTCAATTTGTTGCATTTTATTTTGTGTTCGTTTTTTACTGGTGGATACTGTGGACTAACGAAAATTTGAGCAGAAAATACTGCTTTGTAGTTAATTTCAAGTGGACATTTCAAAATATCACACGGATCGTCAGGTGTCACAGACAAGGCGAATTTCATATTGCCGTTAATGTAGAAAGCAACATCGTTGATGATATTACCACTAATATCAATGAGTCCTACAAAAATACAAAAAACAATTCATCAATCTAATCTATTTTGACAAGTTATTAAAACAGGGCTCTTGTGTTGATTAAAATGGCGCCATCGTTATTATCAAAAATTAATCAGATCACTATTACTGCATCTGTATGAAAAAATCAGCAACCACAAAATTTTTTCTTACCGTCGTTTCTCTTACCGGTATTCAAAACGAATGAAATCGAAGTATTGGTCCCAATTGTTAAAGGGCACGAAGTATCCTCATCACTACAGTTCTCTATTGTCACATTTTCATATGTCCAATATGAACCTGAATAATAATAATTTTAATAGGTAAATCTTCAAACTTAATTCTAAACTTACCGCATTCGAGGATGTCAATACTATGTGCAAAATGAAAACAAAGGAGGAAGGATGCTACACACAGTAAATTTTTGTATAGCAGCTGCATGATGACTCTAATTTGCTTTACTCTTGTCAAAACAAAACTAATACAATAAGTATAATGTGACGGAATTAATACGTGCAGTATAAATCTCAGACACTTTTAAATTATCACATTTATCTCATATCTCAACAAAATGAAGCCCTAGAAAATAAAAGTAAGATTTTGTTTGTTTAAAAAAATGTTTATGATAAATATTTTTAACCCAGAATTTTTTAACCTATATATTTTTATTATTATTTTTAATTTGTTTGATAAAACTTTACTTAATATTGTTGATTTCAAGTTACCAGTTACAAGATTCCTATATGTTGTACTTATGTCTGTACATACATGTACTCGCATCTTAGCCTAAATTCAAAATTAGTAACACTTCATTCTCATTTTTTTATAAACAAAAACAATTTGAGATAAATACTTTTTACATTGCTCAATCAATCAAAGAATTCTTTCAATTGATTATTATCCATCTCGTCCAACGAGAACGTGATTGTCACGACATTTAAAAACGTTACAGTTGTCCTTCTTCACATTGACCGCAGTTTTATAAAAAAAAATGAGTCATCACTTAGATCTAAAGTACGATATTACGTGAAAGGTGTATACAATAAATAAAATTATTTATTAAGTACTTCATTATATGTTTCTTTATGTACTATGTAAATAAAACAATAGATCATAAAGTCACACTCATTCATCTTATTCATACACAATGATACAGCAACAATTATAATAATTATTTATTTATAATGTTTTAGTGCTTTTTACTGTTTTTACTAATTTACTGTTTAAAACTAATTAGTAATCCTGGCTGGGATTTCGAAACAAATAACGTCATCTTTGCCATCGGTCGGTGTTAATCCCCAATGGATGACGGCTTTAACCTGTAAGACATTTTCCATTGAATTCATGTAGTTAAATTAATTTTTTTTTCGACGTACTCGTGGATAAATCTGCAGCACTTCAATATTGTTTCTGTAAAGATAGTCTTGTCCTTTTTTGAGTGGACATCCTACTTGATTCAGGCCATCAGCCGAGTAAATATTTTTACAAGCATCAGTTCCATCGACTCCGGGAAAAGGAAAAGGGACGCCAGCGATATACGCGTGAATTGAATTTAATATTTTTTCAATATCTCTTTCTGAAATTGAATTATTTGGGATTACTACAATGCATTGTTTAAGTGACTTTTGATTTAGTATAGAATATATTATCTAAAGATGTTTAGAAATTTTAGTCCGATTAAGTTATTTTTAATCGAAAAATTTGATACGAGTACAATTGGAGACTTCAACGATTTACTCCATTTTTAAACAAACCGGTTGGGAAATAAACAAGTGCATTTACTCAACTTAAGTAGATAAATACATACATGGAATAATACCACACTAATAAAATTATTTACCTTCGATTTCAGGTTTTTCTTGCTACCTTAACCTGACATTGACCATGTTATAAAAAATTGTTTTCATGGAACAGCAATTTAAAATTAGTTAATTACTTTATATTTTCTAACACATACATCTAATATGCTTAATTAAAATTTGTTGTAAATGGATACCTTAAAACAGGTTTTTTTGTTTAGACTTCGTCTTCTACAATGTTAAATATCATTTTTTCCTTTCAAACGTTTATCCAAAAACTAATTTTATACATACTTCCATTTAAAATTTTCTAAAACAGTTTTTTAATAAATAAATTAATAAATAATAAAATAAATGTTATAGCTATGAAAATAATTTCAAACTAAACCTACACAAATGCTATAGAAATATTCTATATTAAATACTACGATAAAATTTCATCGACTTGTATAATAAATAACTATTATTCTGTCGATTTAAAAATATTTAAAGCACATAAGGTAAATTAATAAAAATGTAGATATATTTGCTCAGCAGGTAAGTGTATTTTTCACATAATTTTTAAACTTACCTGGCTTGACATTGAGTTCTATTTTAACGACTGAATTTTTTCTTAATCTGCAAGGTGGTTTCTTACAGTTACCTAATTTGACCCGGTTTTCAAGCCCTTCGATGGGTTTTTCTAAAACAAATTCAAAATTAATCGATTACTAATAATACATAGAAAAATTTAAATTTTCAAAGCAAAAACTTGATATCTTTGACCTACAATTGAAAAATGGACTTACCAATATCATGGCATTGAGTAACATTAATAGCAGAAGAGTAAGAGATAGCGCTAAATAAAAACAATGCTACAAGCACTTTCATTTTTAAATTACGAGTGCAAACACGGAAAATTACTTTAATACTGTTGCTAAAACCCTCATGTACTGTACTGGCCGATATCGGTCTCCGAAGGTGGATGTCAAAACCCACTCTTAAAGAGACGTTCCACTACCACTTCAGTCTGTGCTGGTGCTTCCGAGACTTTGGTAATTTTTATTCGGTTTGCGTATTTTTATTTATTACTAAAGTCACACTAAGGTTAATGATATTTGTTGTAGAAAACGTGAATTTAAGTTTCCTTCTCAACAAATAATTTAATGTTAAAAATTTAATAATTTGTATATAGCCTTGTAGACAGGAAGATGTATGTCTCTGTATACAAGTAGCAAAATTTAAATTGGTAATATAATTAATTATAGTGGATATCCACTTATTATTATCAATAACTACGTAAATCACTGAAACTGTTAATAACTTTTTACATATAATTTTATGCAATAACTGGTTTCTGTCGAATTTCACTTTTTTCAAAATAATTATTTTACATTGAAAATAACAAACAAAAAAATTCATTTACAAACTACAGCAGCGCAAAGCAGGCGACCTTGTTTTCTAGACTTGTGACCCAATCACAGTTAAAATTAAATTGAAATTAGAACTTCTGTAAACTTACTAATACGAAAATAATCAATTATTTGAAGAAAAATCTTATGTTTGTTTCCATTTTTCCAGAGGTTGCACTCACGCATGAAAAGGTTCTAGTTTTGCCAGCTCTCCTTAATTTTTATATATATATTATTTTATATATTATATTTTTTATAAACATATATACATTTTTTTTGACGCAACGAAGTCGCTTCGCTTACATATTTCAATGGTTTGAAGTCTAGGTTACCATCTCAAGCATTTGCAATGACAAAACAATTTTCAGTTGAGTGACATTGAGGGAAGGTGTCACAACGATGTTTATATACACGAGTGTAAATAATGAGGTTTTTATGAGTGTAGAAAAATACAAGGACTCAAATTGATAATAAAATCAATTGATACACAAAAATTTTTCGTCTCGGAAATCATATAGAATTATGTAGAAAAGGCCTTCTGATGCTCGGCTACAAGAATTAAGGTTTCTGCTCCGTGCCGTCGAGTTGAGCTGTATACCTACAGGTGTTTCAGAACTCGCGCCTCAGGGAAAAATTCCATGTAAAGTAAAACGCCAGAAATATGGAAAAAATGTTAAAAAAAATCTATTTACAAAAACTAAAAAACTATAGGAGTTACTATATTTGTGTTGGAATAATAATCCATGTTTTTTACTGAAGGGTATTAGAAGAGGAAACAAGGAAGCTGCATCCTAAATTGTAACTATGTTTAACGTTATTTATAGTTTTTATTGGAAAAAATTTGTACCTTACTAAATAATTAAATTAAATAATTTTGTACTTTATTAAATAATTATGAAAAAACATCTTCAAAATCATCAGCTGGCAGCATCTTTCTCACTGTGTATAACAAGAAAACAAAACATTGCGCTTCTTGACCAAATTTTAATATGTTTTAAAAGAAGGTCGTAAATGCTGTTTTACAAAATATACCTAAAAAAATTTGGAAGAAATTGTCGTTTTACATACAGTCTTGTTTAGGAATAAATTTTAAGAATCTTTGCAACTTAACAATAATTTAATCTAATAATTTAAATGTATTTTGTGTTGTTTTTATAAATTTTTATGGTGTTGATATCTTATCACATTTTACATGATAACATATTAACTTTAGTTTATACAACACATCATTGTAGAAACATTTCTGTTGCCAAACCATTAGGCGTAGTAAATTAATTTGTAACTCTTCTAACAAGATACGACTTTTTACAGCTTTAAAATTACCAAAATTAAATACGAAGTAATTGTATTTTAGAATATTTTATATTGGTATGAATACTACGAGATTAACCTAAAAATTATGCAAAAAAAAACTCTTCTGTTTTTAGAATATGTAGTCAGAAACGGTAGGGGAAGAATGGCTATCTATAATAACTTTTTGGACAGAAAAACATAATCGTATTATATCTTTCACACACTCTAAAGCTTCTTGCGTTTTTTATTTTAAAATATGTCACAAATAACAAAATTTTAAAAATCATTATTTACCTAACACTCACTTTTATCACTGCAAGTGGCTCTTTCAAATTTGTGATCGTGATAGTGATAACCTAATAGTCAGGTATATCAATGATGTCATTCGTCTGGTCGTTTACCAAATTACGATACTACACAAAAGAAAAATTACTGCGTAGTTTGGACCTAAATCATACAAATTTATTTTCTTTATCTAATATCTAGGATCATTAAATATTACGTTTGTTATTTACGTAACTATAGGTATGTACGTTTTGCTACTGTCAATTCACAATTCTCATAAGTCTGAGACAAGACTAATAATAGCCATCGTGGCTTCAGTTATAATTATTTTTAAAATTTGAAATCAAGAAGTTGTTGCAATATGTATAACGGATTGCGGCAAAAAAAAATCAGAAATACTCCGCTCATGCATAACTCTATATAACGAATAGGAAAAATCTTGAGTTAGATAAATTTTCTAAATTTTCTAAGAAGATGAAAAGTCCGAAAAGTCAACATAGAATCTATGTATAAATTTGGCGTCAAACGGACCACAATTTTTAATACGCCTGGCGAGGTGTCAAATGTCAGATTAATAACTTTCAATGCTATGGTTTGTTCAGACGCTAAATTAAAAAAAAAACACTCGTTACAATAGTATTCTATTAATAATATTCCTATATATTTATTTTTACAACAAAACATTTTTAATATACCTAAACTGTGAAACAACATATAATATATTCACTAAACTCCCGACATGTCAAAATGACATTAAGTTAGTTAAACAAAAAGTTACTATGGCTATGTTGGTGACAACTTCACTCAAAGTTTAACAACCTGGTCGCTATCACTTGATTTGAAATGATTTAATTATTATCATTGGTGCATGTGCCTGTACCATGGAAACTTGACATCAAGTACAGTCAGATGAAATAATAGTCATCTGTGTCGTTTGGAATACACTCAAAAATTTTGGTTTGACATTGTAAACGTCACGGGAGTTTTGTGAATACATAATATACAGGGACATTTTTTTTATTAGTATACATAACCCTATGTATACTTTCAAAAAAACCGGGTTAATTTCATAGGGCAGGCGACCAACATTTCAAGCTTTTAAAGGGTACTAGATATTGAAATATGCAAAACGAAAATTTTGTGTCAAGTTTGTCAAGTGTCAGTCTTGAAATTTAAAGCGCAGCTTTAAAAAGTTAATGCCATTTGTGTGTCGCCAAAGTGGAGCGGGAGATATGGCCGCATCGCATGGCCTTCACAATCGCCACACTTGGCACCTAACGATTTTTTTCTTTGGGGATATTTAAAAACAAAAAAATATACTAATGTTCTAATGCAAAATTTAGAAGAGCTGAAAGAACGTTCTTTACGAATACGTATTCGTACAGAATATAATAATATAGATCCTGAATTTATCAGGTATGCAGTGGCGGTATGTTCAAAATCGCTTGGGTTATTGTTTGGAACTGCAAGCCCAGCATTGTGAACACTTGCTTTAATTATTTAATATTTTTCTTGTTTTAATGGGTTTTATTTTTTTTAATTAATATTTCATTACATTTACTTTGTTGTTTTTTAAAATTTGTCTTTTATTTAACGCCTTTAAAACCTTTGTAATATTGGTTGCCTATGCCTAGACTAACTGCAAATAATAATAGTAATAGTCATATGTAAGTAGTTAAATACATATACATCCGTATACTAATAAAAAAATGTGCCTGTATGTACAAGTATTAATTAAATCAATGAATTCAAAACGTTTAAAATTTGTAATCGATATTTTTTTATAATTTTATGTTAACTTTGAGAATAAAAAATTGGTAGAAAACACTTATAATGTTTATAATTTTTATTGAGATTTTTTGTTATTTTTACAATATGTGGCAAAGAATTTCAAGATACAATTGCAATATCAGCGCACGACCGGAATGTTTCTTGGGCCCCACAGCCCATCTTTTGGGTACCATCAGTACAAATTCCCCAAGAATTTCCGCTCTTGTAATGCCATCTTAAGACACATCTATCACAGATAACTCCTGCTGGCAATTGTACTTGATTTGTGATTTGGTACTCATCAGCACTGACAGGATGTTGCGAGGAACCATCAGCTAGCGGCAAATCGACAAAACAATCTTCGGTTTCAGGTTTAGTGGGATCTTCCAAGACGCACAAACTGTAGGTAAAACTACCAAGATGGTTCGCAGTAAGAGTAATGGAAGTAGTGACAACACTTCCGGCTTTGTAAGTTTTTGAAACAACACCATTTCCAAATTTACCCGTATTTTCGTTGCTTCTGGGGACGGGATCGGCGTAGTTGTCACCACAGACTCCGCATTTACCTCCGTTTTGCTCGTATTGAACCTGAAAAAAATATTTTTATTATATTTCTTTCACATAAATAATATTTGTAATTATGGACATACCGCAAAACCTCCGCAAAAGAAAGCATTATCGTCATAATTAATCGGGGCTTTCTGATCTATTCTCCACCGAGAAGCTCTGTTTGTTGGGTCCATCATCATACCATGACTGGCCACTTTTTGCAAGCAGACCAAAACAAGCACTACTGTTACAAATTTTGCCACCATTGTTTTAATTATCACAAGACCGAACTAATTAAAGTAGTGCGAAAATTTTCACTTATATAGAAATTCAATCGATAAGATATCGCAATTTAAATAAATATGAGGGTTCTCTTGATGCAAAAAGTTGCCGCCAGATATGAAGTGAACCTTCTTAATCAAATATTTTAATAAACCAATCGGAAACGGTACCTTGACACCCCCACAGAAATATCCCATGTCGTTGTAATTTGAGGGTTGTTTCCAGTCGAGTCTCCACAAGGAAGCTCGATTAATAGGTTCAAGCATCATACCATGACCTGAAGTTTCTTCAAGGTAGCAAAATACTACAAAGACAAGAATTTCTCTTATTGCCATATTTCGCAATACTTCTGAATTCCAGAACTAATACACTATACTGAAAGATTTTGGGGTGATTTTTATTTATACCTAAATTGTGGCTATTTTGATAAGATAGCTAGAAATATATTTATTAGGGGTTTATTACACCTGCATTAACAGTTTAATTAGATCAAACAAACCGCCAAAATCTAAATTATTTAATGAAGGATAAGAATGTTACATGACTTCTAGTAGTCATTTCTCATTTTACGAATGTAGATTTGATTTATTTAAGTTTTTTTTTTAATTTTTGTTCCAATTAAGTTAAATAAAATGCGAAGAAAGCCCTGGAACAGATCAAAGTTTTTATTGTGATCAAAGGTTAAGTTTTTTTTAATAAATAGTTCAAATTGTTGCCTCATGTAAAGGATAATGATAAAATCATTAGCAAATGAAAATTTTAAAGTAATTTTTGATGTCAACTCATTTACTGTATTGTATTAGATTTTTTTATTCTTATCAAGCTTATTATTGTCACATCAAATTTTGCCACTGTATTTTAATTAGTGAAATAATGTAATATTAAGTTTCTTGGTAAATGCGAATTTCATAATGATTTTGAAATGTTTTAGTTAAGAATATATTGAAAACTCCTGTTTTCATTCTAAAAAGCAAGTAAGAGAAATATGGTGGCAAAATATTGCAAAAATAGATAGTCTTTTAACAATATAACATTTAAAACAGTAGAGGGTAAAATTTTTCAATATAGGCTTCCACCATTTTTATTTGAAATTTATAGCTTTTTCTCATCGAGTAGACAACAATGTCTGAAAACATTTAAAAAAAAAGCATTTAGTGTTTTTATCTATTTTTATTTAAACTTTTACTAATAATTAAGTATTTGTTTTCTGTACTTACATTGTTGAGGTCACGTACCTCTTTTCTGTTTCAAAGAAAAAAAAATAGTATATCATTCAACAAGCATATAATGATATTCACAAAGGTGAAGGTTAAAAAACGAGTCGTAGACTAGTTTTTTAATCACCTGAGTAAATAATAGCCATTATATATGAGTAGAATACTAATACGATTTACGATTGTAAAATAAAAAATATATTCAATTTTTAGTATTGACAAAGCTGACATATGGAAGTTGACGTTTCAATTTAATTAATAAAAATGTCAAATTGTGTTGAAACAGAATAAAGGAAAGAGTCCTGGAATATAACTTAATGGGCCGTATGAATAAAGTTAAGTAAATGCTTCTACTTGTAATAGTAAAAAATAGACGTAATTTAGATTTTATGAGAAAGAAAGAGACAAAATTATAGTAAAAGCTTTTGCTACATTTTATTCATACTACCCAATATTCCACGAGTGGAATATGAACTAAATTATGTGTCTATAAATACGCAGTCGTGGTTTATGCACATTAATTTATAAATTTTACCATAAAAGTTCTTGTTGTAAAAAGTCTTTAAAGAACATAATTTAGATATTGTAAAACATAAGTGTTTGAGTTTTTTATTAGTCTTTTCCAAGAATTGATTAATCAATAATCACTTACATCTGTCAATCTGGGCCTTATTATTTATCGATTATAATTCTATTGTTCAAAAAAACTTCAAGTTTGATTGAAATCAATTATATTAATATCAATATAAGTTGTCACTTATTGATCCTTACTCGTTGTTTAGTTCTTCAGACTTCCTCTAGCATATAGGTATATAAATAAATAAATAAATATACTCAAAAATGTTCTCCCATTTTCATAAATTTTTGTAACTTTGTCAGCCTGTATGTAAATATTTCATACTATCTTTAGTACCTATCAAATATAAAAATTAAAACTAAACTTGTTAAAACAACTTGAAGTGAAAAGAAAAATAAATTAGACAAAAGTTTATAAATTATCATCGTCTTAATAATGCCTACTTACAGTTGGCAAAATACGAATCTATTGTCTAATTTATTCTTTCAGATCCAGGTCTCCGACAGATCCCACCTTCCACTATTTAAACAAAAAACTAGCATTTTGGGATCATAATTATAATGTCGTACTTAAAGTCTGTTGGTATGTATTTTCAGTGATATGTGAGTTTATTCAAGGTAATAATCTATATCTACAGTATTCGCGTGTTTAACAAATTTTCAAAACATTCTTAACCAGCTATTTATTTCGTCACTTTTTAAAACAGCCACGTGATTACAACGTATCTTCGAGTATGTACAATTTCTAATTTTTCTAATATCTATAAAGAAGAAAACATCTAGTCAATGTTGTCACACAATAAGTATAAGTGTTTTCTCTAGCATTATCTTTCTTACTCTTCAATGTGATGACTAGTTTTTGAAACATAAACAATAGCTATTTATGTATCAAGTACGCAAAATAGGGTTTTAAGGAACGAATCGTAATTAATGACGAGGCGACGTACTTATAGGAGCCGAGTCTTTAATGAGAGGAGTCACCTAAAACCTTTTGCGTACGTGGTGGATACAAGATTTTTTTATTAAAGCTCCCAAAACACGAATTCACACCTCTTATTAATAAAAAAATTTCGCCACCATAGTAACCAATTTAATTTTTTTGTCCGCAAAAACTGTTGTTGGGGACTGAGTACGCAAAATAACCATTTTGCGTACTATTTTATTAAGTCCGGAAAAGACTCATTTTGTGGTCTCAAATGAGTCCGCAAAATAGCTATTTTTGGGAGCGTATACAAAAACATATTTTTTTATAGTTTTGTGCAAACTTCTACAATTAATAAAAACAAAAATAATGTTATAAATACACAATACAATACATAATAAATAAAATTACAGACAGAAGCCCAATAAAACTTAATCTTTATACTGCCCCTTGCAAGTACAATGTAATTTTTGAAAAATACATAATTTGATTATTAATTTAATACTTTAATCTTTATTATTAGGTAGTATTATTTATTTAAAATTTATATTTACAAAATATAAAAAAGAAGTAGTCTTTATCTTGGAATCTGTCAGATTAATCGCAGTTGGTTTTTAAACTTTGAAGTCAAAAATAATTAATCTGGTTCTACTGCTCGCTTAATATCTTCATGTGGCGATTGGTTGAATTACAAATTGAAAAATTTTACTAACGACTAAATAAAAAAATCTAATAAGCATTTACTGTATGGATGTTCCGTTTTTTTTTGTTACAAATTTAAACAGATGAAAGGATATAAGACAAAAAAGTTTCTTTTAATGCGTTTTTTCCACTATTTCGAAGCAAAATCAAATTCGCCATTTGGCGAAGAAAAAATTGGAGCTTTTTATTTAGAAAAATTGAGTTAAGGGTATTTGAGGTTTCCCAAACGTAACTATCGATTATGAAATTACCGGAAGGACGATCTAATCTTTCTCTTTCATATGTCAAAATACTAGTTTAAAATAATAAAAAATAATAGAGTTATCGATTTCTGAATAAAAAGAACAAGAACTTTTTAACTTTTCTGTCGTACTTAAATTTAGACGTGATTTAGACAAACATCAAGTTGTTTTATCTTTTTATTTTGATATATTTTAGACGTAATTAGATAATTAATTATTAATGAACATTTTTGACTGTTGAGTTGAGATCTATAAATTCTTATCGAAAGATCTTGCAATTAGGTACTTATTACAACCAAGTGTCTTCTTTTGTTTTAATTTATCAGTTAGATCAATTTTCTAGAGTCATGCATCTTACAGGTGACATTAATAAAAGTAAAATATTTAATTAAAATCAAGTGGGCATACATTTTGAAATTTAATTGTATGTAATTAGGTATAAATGAAATAATCATAAATATACGGGACGACGAAGTGCTGAAATTAAAAAAAAAAACAATTTAAGAAACAAGTTTTAAATAATGTTTTGTGACCTGACCTGACCTAAGCTGTGTCGAGATTTTCAGATTTTCAGATTTTTATTTATATTCTGCGATATTCAGTGTGTTTTTTTTTAATTACCCTATATATTTAGAGGCTCCATCACTCCGTGGCTGAAAACTTACCTAAAATCTCCAATAAATAAAGCTAAAATAAGAATTTGAACAATCATTTTCTTTGAATCGACATGTAAAACTAAGATAGTTTGGGTAGAAGTAGAGAATGATTTTTTTGCATACTTTTTATAGGTTTTGGAGTACTTCACAAAACCGATAAAATCAAGAGCTGGACGATTGAAAAGTTTATTGTGAGATTGAAAATTTATTTCATGATTTGCGTGACACCAGAAATATAAAAAAGGCAATTATTAACCAAAATAATTTATTTGTAGTTAAACTATAGCTACATCAGCACAAGTGCGGAAAGTTTCTTGTGACCCGCATCCTTTGGCCCAAGTACCATCGCCACAATCACCCCAATTATTACCTTAAACCCATTAATTTATTTTTAATTTTTTAAATTTCAAGATACGTACCTGCACGATAATGCCATCTTAACACACAATGAGCACAAGTTTTACCTTTCGGCAGTTGCAAAGCTACAGAAACGTCAGTTTCTCCCGCTGAAACATTATATTGTTTTAAACCATCAGCCAAAGACAAGACTTCAAAACATTCCTCTCCACTTTCGGGAGCATTGGAATTAGTGATTTCGCATAAACTAAATTCAAAACTTCCCAAATGATTTTTAGACAACCAAACTTTAACATTTATGACACTCCCAGCTTCGTATGTACGTACGATTTTTCCAGAACCATATTTGCCAGTATTTTCGTTATTTTGAGGATGAGGATCGCTGTAAGTGTCACCACAGACTCCGCATTTTCCACCATTTAATTCCCATTGGACCTACAATAAATTAGAAACCTTAAACTGCTAGGTTATTGAATTACTGAATAATTACATAATATCCCCCACAAAAATTCTGATTGTCTTGATAATTTGGTAAAGCGGATTTGTCGTACCGCCACAGAGAGCTTCTGTTTGGTGGTTCCAACATCATGCCATGACCACTTATTTCTTTAAGTAAAATACTGCTAATTGCTACTAAGAGTAGTTTAGCCATTTTTTTTATAACTAGTAGTAAAATTTGCCTTTTTTGCTTTTATATAACATATGATAAGATAAACAGAAAAAATGAGGTGGAAGAATATAATAAAGAAGTATCTAAAGTATATAAAATTCAATATATCTTAATCTTTTAATGATTTTATTAATACATTTGTAACATTTTTTCTTTTATGTGTGATTGTTTTATTGAAACTTTTAATCTTTTTAGTCTAATAAGTAACTCCGAAATTTTAATTGAGGACGTCATTTAGTTAAATAATACCATCAACTTATCCGAGGCAACAACAAAATTTCAAGAACTTTATAACCACAAACCATGTAAGCACTTTATAAATAAAACCATATAACAATAATGACAGTAGCTATAGTTTATGGTCTATAAATCTAAAATCAAATAAGCCTTTGTGAGTAAAGTTGATAAAACTTTTTTTTAATAGGAAGGTTTTGGTAGCATTCACAAGACAATAACTAAAGTGTGCAACAACTTGCTAATATCCCATTATAACATTTAAACATTCACTCAACAGTCAGAACATTCATTACGATTCAAAATCATTCTTGTTTTGCATAAAAATTAGCGTCTCTGAAACGATATCGTATGTGGTAAATGCGCAAATGGTAACATTGATCGCTGATGGATAATTATTTAGTATTCTATCAAGAAACAATTTTACATATTTATTATTCCCGTATTCAATTTATGTATGACTAGAATTTCCCTGTCACAGATAAAAGCACTAAAAACGCGAAAGACGTCAATCATTTCCTGGAAAAAACATTATAATGAATTATAAATTAGCTTGATTTCGGTAAAAAATTAATGAGATTAGTCTGACTTAACAGTTGTTAAGTTATTTAGGTAATAAAATGTTTGTGTTTTTCAGTTTCTCACTTTGAAATGAAGAAAAATATTTTACTTTGTCCGTGCTAGTTTGTATGGAAAAACAAAATAAATGAAATAAGAAAAATAAATAAAACATCCTTTTTTCTATTATAATAATATACTTCAATTTAAATATACGTAAGTATTTTTTACTAAACACTATTCTTTGTTTTTCAGTATAAAATATTCAGGGTGAGTCCTAACTTATATGCATAAGTTTTTGGGTATAAAATAAATAATAATGAAAAAAAATTCTAACAAAAGTTTCTTAGTTTCCGAGATATACTCACCATGTTAAAAACACTATTAGACTTTAAAATTTTAGATAATTTGCGCTGACACCAATGCCGACATTACATTTGTTCACGCCAGGCCTGTCAATAGTTAAGTGAACCGATTTTCTTTATTTTGGTAGGGTTAAGAGGAATTTTTAATTGATATTCGATAAAAATAAAAAATATTTTATTTAACTTTTTTTTTAATTTTTTTTTTACTTATTATTGATCAACCTTTCATTCCCTAAGTTTATGCGTATAAGTTACATAAGACTCACTCTGTATTGCCGCAAGATTTTTCTAAAATCACATACATCACTTGCCAATAAAGATAAGAAATAAAAATCTTAGTCATAAGACTAAGCAAAAAATGATATTTTAATAGTTTTTACTTTTATTAGAATTGTCTTATCGATAAGATATTATAAATAATAGTTATGAGTAGATAATAGGTAGGTATACAAATACACTGGTTTTACTTTATAGTTCAGGCAACCATTAATACAGCAAATAAATTAAAGAAGAAACACAGATGCTAGGTTTTTTTTGTAAAAATTATTTAATAATTGTTTAATAATATTTTATTACTTTGAAACAATAAAATAATAAAATATTAAACTATTTTTACACTAAAACTGTTCACAGTAATTTGATAGACTTTATTTGGGTTTTATTTCCATTTTGTACAAAATTTTTACCAAACTACACAACTGCAATATCAGCACACGATCTAAAAGTCTCTTGAGGCCCACATCCGTCCGCAAAACTGCCATCATCGCATTGTCCCCAACTGTTGCCTAAATACAAACAAAATTTAAAACGAAATCGAGAAAATGTTGTTTAAGTAATACCACAATTGTAATGCCAACGAAGAACACATCTATCACATTTCAGGCCATCGGGTAACTTAACCTGAGTATCAACAATCAAACTCTTGTCAGTTGATTGAATATAATATCTCGGCTCGCCATTTGCCAGTGTGATGGGTTGGAAACACTCTTCTCCCGATTCTGGGGCGTTTGGATCTTGCAAAACACATACACTAGAGCAAAATAATTATTACACTCGTATTTAAAAAAATTGAGCTTCCCTACCTAAAGTTGAAATATCCCATATGATTAGCAGTCAAATTAATTGTGATATCAATCACACTTCCTGAATCATACGTCCGTACAACCTTCCCTTGACCATAAGTCCCGGTATTTTCGTTCGCTTGTGGATGTGGATCGGAGTAGATATCGCCACAGACACCACACTTGCCATTAAATTGGCTCCATTGGACCTTTTGTTAGGAATTAACTTTCATCCAGTTAATAAAATAAGATACTTACGGCCACTCCGCCACAAAAATTCTGATTATCATCGTAATTTGGAGGTGCCGTTGGGTCAAACCGCCACAAAGAACTGCGATTTGGTGGTTCCATCATCATTCCATGACCGGAAATTTTCTCAACGAGAAAACAGAACACAAGGAAAACAACAGAAACAGAAAGCATTTTTCCAATCATCACGAAGACGTTTTGAGGGTGTTTTGATGACTTGATGCTATTTATTCGCTTGATAACGGTGAAGAGGCAGAAATATGTGAAAGATAAGGTAGGTATCTATTGTATTTTACTTTAATAAAAATGAAGTGGATAGAATATTACCGTTATTTATAAACATTATTTAGTCAGTTTTAATTGTTTGTACTTATTAGTTTGCAGTAAAAATGGTTTAAAATAAAAATATGTAACAGAGGTGGTGTCGTGTTTACTGCAATTTTTCTCAAGTGGAGATTTACGTCAAAGCTCTCAAAGTTCTTGAAAAAAAGCAAAAGTTAATATGATAAAAGATAAGTGTTCTAATCAATAGGTACTAAAATACAATCAGCATCATATCTTTGATGATTTATTTTTATTATTCTTAAGTTTGAAGAAGTATTTCTTACTACGTGATGTTTACTTAGTAGGTAACGTAAGTATATTTCTAGATTTTTTTTCCTCCACAAAATAAGAAGTACGTTTCAAAAACTACGTTTGTTATCAAAAATTTATGAATCATTGCAAAAAAAATTCACATAATCAATTTTTTCGAAGATTTTTGTTTCATAAAATTTATCCAATCCCTTTAGCAACGCTTTGGATCCAAAAATGCTTATTTGGGTCTAATTTAGAGCTTTAGTGGCTTAGATGTCAAGAAAATTACAAATGTAAACAAAAATAAATGATATCTTTCTGTTTTTTCAAACTATTCAACTATCCTGAACATTTTACATAAGTAGGTACAATTTAAGAAATATTACGTTTTCTATAGTGACACTATGTCAACACTTTATCCGTTTTGGAATTACTTCTAATAATGTTCTTAATTTTTGTTATTGTCTTAAAGTTTTAAATAGGTATCTACATATCTTAATACACTTTTTTATTTTTATTTTTTTTTTGTAATAGGGCCTACTAATGTTTAAAAAAAACATTCAACGACATAAGTTAGTAGGTTTCAATTTATTATTATCAAATTATTTACAAAAGTTAGAGTATTGCTACATCTGCACAAGACCGGAAAGTTTCCTGAGGTCCACATCCCTCTTGGTAACTCCCATCTTCACACTGTCCCCAATTATTTCCTAAATAAAATATTGAATTATAATTCTGCTTTATATATTTTTTTTAAATACGTAAAAATACCTGCAGTATAATGCCATCGCAAAACACATCTATCACAAGTCAACCCATCCGGTAGCTTAACTTGGGTGTTCACTGTTTTTTCACTATAAGTAACATTATATCTGTCATCACCATTACTCAAAGATATTGGTTGGAAGCACTCTTCACCAGATTCTGGAGCACTTGGATTTTGCAAAACACAGAGACTAAAAGTACATCAAAAACTACAGTTTATCTTCAAGCTGTTAAAAATTGCGCGTTTGTATATCTCTATAGAAACGCCTTTTTTGTAACCAGAAATGAAAGACTTTTGGAGTTGAAAGTTGAGATGTGACGACTCTACCGAGTCAAATATGAGGTCATTTGAGGCATTTCACACGGTGAAATGACTTATTTATCAATAGTTACACGAACTGTTTAATAATTAAATTAAAAAGCCTCGAAGAACGCGAAATAACAATATTATTACCAAATATTTAACCGGTAACACGAGTAGCTCATGTGTATGCATGACAGAGGTCAAAATTAAAAATTGCAAGATGGCCGTTGAAAAGTAAACAGAGTCCAAATTTCCGTTTCTTTGCGATCCGCTTGAAAATAAAATAGTATATATCATTCAACTAAAAAAACTCACTTCTTCTCGTAATGATATCTACTATTTTTCTAATAAAGATTGCATTCCTACCTACCTAAACAAAAAATATCCCAAATGATTTGTTGTCAACGTAACTTGAATATCTACTACACTTCCAGGCGCATATTGTCGGACAACTTTCCCTTGACCATATTTTCCAGTATTTTCATTTTCTTGGGGATGAGGAGCGTTGTAAGGGTCACCACAAACACCACATTTTCCATCCATACTTTGCCACTGAAACTTTGACAAAATTAGAATACATACTATATTATGTATTTATTAAAATTTAATAAAAAAAACTTACTGCAGCCCCACCACAATAATTTTGGTTATCGTTGTAATTTTGAGGTGCTGTGGGATCAAATCTCCACAAAGAACTGCGATTAGGTGGTTCTAACATCATCCCATGGCCAGAAACTTTCGCTACAAGAAGACAAAACAACAGAAAAAATTGCCAAGAAAACTTCATATTTTTTAACATTTTTATCATACGGGATGTCTACGCAAATGAACTGTTTTTATATTGCAGCACTGATTTTGTAAAAAATGATAAGATTGGAATTTCGAGATTGATTTATTCTCGGACGTTCGAGAAGATTATTGACGGAAAGAGCAAAAATAATAATAACAAATAGCAGAATTTTCAGTAAAATTCTTTATTTAAACAATTTCGTGTTTTATGTCGCATAACAACATTATCAGTAATAGAAAACTGAAGATTAATAGGTTTAAGAGATTGTTATATCAGCACAAGAACGGAAAGTCTCTTGAGGGCCACATCCTTGATTATAACTTCCATCTTCACACTGCCCCCAGTTGTTACCTAATTTAATTATGTAACATTAAGATAATCAAATAATTAATTAATTAAAGAACTTACCGGCTTGATAATGCCAACGCAAGACACATCTGTCACATTTCAAACCGCTTGGCAATTGTATTTGTGTATTTATTGTTTTTTCACCAGTAACAACATTGTATTGATTATCACCATTTGCAAGTTTCAGAGGCTGGAAGCAATCTTCTCCAGATTCATGCTTGTTCGGGTTTTGTAATACGCACAAACTATATATTAAAAAATGTTTTTACAAAAAAATAATATTTTTTACACCTACCTAAAATTAAAGAAACCCTTATGGTTTGTGGTAAGTAAAACCTCAACATCGATAGAACTTCCTGATTTATACTCAGCGGCGATTATTCCCTGGCCATATTTACCAGTATTCTCGTTTGCTTGTGGATGGGGATCGTCGTATTTGTCACCACAAACACCACATTTGCCTCCCATACTAGCCCACTGGACCTACAACAAAACATTACCAAAAATTAAAATTAAAAAATACGAGTATTTACCCCAGCTCCTCCACAATAATTCTGATTGTCGTTATAATTAGGTGGTGCGTTGGGATTAAATCGCCACAAAGAGCTTCGATTTGGGGGTTGTAGCATCATTCCATGACCAGAGATTTTGTCAACAAGGAGGCAAAAAATGAAGAAACTAAGTTGAAGCAAAGCCATTTTTTGAAGTTGTTCTGATGATTCGAGAAAACTTTCTTTATATAGGTTATGGTCAGATAAAATTAGGAATTTATGGCTTAAATTTAAAGAAATTGTTGTTAAGTTTAATCCTTCGAGCGTGGCCAAGATTAAAAAGACTTAACGTAATCCAAAATAACTGATCCAAAAATTAAGCACTACGCACGTTTTATTTACTTCTCATTCAAGTATTTTCTGTTTTACAGATAAACTTTTGGAATTTATGCTAGTATTAGTAGTAGTTTATTTAAGTAATTTATGAAAAAAAGTCACATTGTAAATACCAGCTTCCAATTAATTAAAAAAAAATGTTTAATTTTCAGATATTTTAAAGCAAAAAAGTGTCATCTCAAATTTGAAATTTATTTCTGCATTTTATGTGAATGAGAGTGAGAAAGCAACTGAAAAAGTGTTATCATTTTATTCGCACTATACAAATGATTCAAAAGTGTCGGACCATCTTTAGAATGGTGATAGAAGACTATCAGCTAAACATAAAAATAAAAGCAAATTTTTACAAGCTTATTTTTCTGAGAAAAAGCAGAACTGACAAAATGACCATTTCCGAATTATTATGACTATTATGAGGTACCTCGCATTACTGTTTCCGATGTCAGATTGAATGTTTTGTTGAATTTGTTTGTAAATGTTTTGTACACCATAAGACACAACTCGGTAAACAGGTTTTGTTAATCTTCTCTTCTTTCATTTCTTCTGTTAATCTGTTTAATATTGCAAGATCTGCCCTTTCCTCTAACTAAATTCAAGAATTCATATTTGAACAACCAAAAACTTAAAGTCCCAAAGATTTAACCTTTGAAGAACAATATCTTGTGAAAAAAACTTAAACATTTTTTTATTATGGGAACATTTAACTCAGTTGGATGTTCTTTTTCGCTACCGAAGAGATAGTCCGAGTCTTTTTAATCATCCTGTAGATTTAATTGCAGAGAGTCAAAAATGCAATTTTGATTAGGTAAATCCGAGAGTAAATCCTATTGTAAAATGTTATTTGTTTTTTTCATGCTACTACTCTCAGTATAAGTACTTGATTAGAGAGATTACGACTTTATTTAAAACTTCAAGATAAAACAAATTTAAAAAGTAGATTGTAAGATTTAACCCACGTTTATTTTTGTATAGTCAAACCTTTTGTTTATTATTTTTATTTTTGTTGTATTAAAATTTTAATTTTTTTTAAATATAATAGTAGATTATGTTATTAGGAGTAAAAGTGATTGTTTATGTTAACATTCATTTTGCCGAACAGAGAGGCAAATGGATTCAGCTGAGCCACATAAACTCACTTTTACTCCAAATAATATATACTATTTTATCTGCAAACGATTCACATGGAGAGAAAAGAGTAACACACCAATAATCAAGTAAATCACCTCAATAATCAGGACACTTTGCAATAAAATCATAACAAACGTCACGACCCAGTTTCGGAATTTGTGTTGAGATTTCGAAAGTGTTGATTGATTTAACTGGTGAATAATATAATATAGTGCAAAATGTCGAATGCTGATAATCTACCTTGTACCTCTCCAGAAAATGCTGAAAATGCGAAAGAGACAAGAAAGAGACAACAGTGGTAAATGTCAAAGTAAGTGTCAAGTAAAAGTGAAAACGCCTAGGCATATAAACAGTGTTTTGACTCCATCATGTCTGAAAAGTAAAACTTCTCCCTGTGTCATTTAGTAATAAAAGTGGTCACTTTTGTGACGTTTGCGGATAAAAATAATTTATTTATCTAAAAAATTTTACAATACTACACAATAATGTTCCTAACATAAAAAAATACAATTTTTACACGATTCTGACATCTGAGCACGATCTAAATGTTTCTTGAGGTCCACATCCTAACCCTGAAGTACCATTTCCACAATTTCCCCAATTATTCCCTATAAACAATATTACGAAAATTTTATTTTAACAAAAAAAATTATTACCAGTTCGGTAATTCCATCTAAGCACACACCGATCACACTTAATTTTTTTGGGCAGTTTGAGTTTATTTTTTACTAGTCTATCCGTTTTCAAAACATTGTACTTGACAGAACCGTCAGCTAGTTTCAATGGAATGAAACATTTCTCGTCCATTTCAGGTTCATTGGAGTCTTTGAGAACACAAAGACTGCAAACAATTTTTTTTTCCAAAATTTAACTAATTGTCATATTTACCTGTATTTAAAAAAACCCAAATGATTTGCTGTGAGTTTTACTTGAACATCAATCGTACTTCCGGCTTTATACTCCGCTACGACAAAACCTCGCCCATACTTGCCTCCATTCTCGTTCGATTGTGGGTGAGGATCGTCGAATTTGTCTCCACAGGGGCCACACTTGCCTCCAAATTTGCCCCATTGGACCTAAATATAAAATCTGTGCTTAAAATCTGTGCTTTGTTTTTCGGTTCTGAAAATTACTTACACCGAAGCCGCCACAAAAGTTTTGATTATCATTGTAATTTATTGGAGCTGAGCTATTAAACCTCCATAATGAGCTTCTGTTTGGTGGCTCCAGCATCATCCCATGGCTGTTTATTTTGTGAATTGTAAAAAACAAGAGGAACAAGCTGGCTACAACGTGATTCATAATATTTTCTTAAGTTTTTTCTTGACTAACGGTGGTTTGAAATGTGTACCTTTTATATGTGGAAACCCCTATTTTACAACACAGATAAGATAAACAACTGGAACATAGAAATTTTCGAAAATATTGTATCTTTTTATCTTTTTCTATTTGTAAATAAGTATATAATTACTCAGAAAAGTATGAGTGAGTAAGAAATTATTTGTTTTGGTGGAGATATGAGCCAAATTTTGGCATACATACAAACATCCTGTAATTTATCTTTATTAATTAATACTTATAATAACTTATAAAAAATATCTAGCTTTTGTCTATCAATCATAAAAGAGCTTTTCTAAGTAAAATACAGCAAATGAGATTGATATTTCTTGACAAATTGATGCTCTGTCTTGATTTTTTCCCAAAATATGTCATAAAGCTAAGTACAAATAAGTAAATGAATAACAAGAATTTTTAACAAAGGAAGCTTTGTATTCCAAAAACATTGTATTGTATTAAAAAAAAAATTAATTAACGATAAGAAATATTTTAATTAATTCTATAAAACAAATTG